GCGCGGTGCTGTACGGGAGATAAAAATAGGTATTTTTTATTTTGTATTTGCATTTTAAAGGCAAGTATTTCAAATAAATCTCATCTCTGTATGTAATTAAATAAATTTTATTTACTCTTTCACGAAGATGTTTTAAAGCATATATAGAATGACTGCCACTTCACCGATATTTATTTCTAGAGATTGTGGTAGAACCATTTCAACTCTCTTTCAAAGGTGCACATTGTAAGCACATACCTAACAGCTAGCGGTATGACCTATTGAAAATAATTGAATTTTCCACTTCCAGCAACCCGTTGAATTCCCAGTGCATGCATGACAACCCCAAGTACTTTCACTTACTATAAAAGGATTCACAATTCTGTACAAGATATATAAGTCTGATATAAAAAAACAAAAATAAAAACCTTCTTCTCTTATTATTTTATTTTGTTTGCACAAAACCAGATTTGGTAACTCTAATATAGGTGATCAATTTAAATGTATTTTAAAGGGTTATGTAAATTTTCATCAGACTTTACTATTACATAAGTGGCTCAAAAGATATTTGCGAATTAGAATGCTACAGGAGCATAGCAACCGATAATATAATATTCTGGAGCTACCTGACAATTAAAATAAAAGATGAAAGGGTTGCTTAGATCTCCTTATAGTATCCAAGATGTTATTGCTTAATTAGAATCTTTAATTCAAATTGTAAATTTTGATATATTTCAGATGGAAATGAACAATTGGCAATAAGCGTGCGGGTCTAAATATTTCTACGCGGGTGTAGAATTAGTTGCATATATATCACCATAATGCCTTCAAAATTAAAATGTAAGTGCTATATGTTCAGTGGGCAAAAGTGACGTTTTGTTCCCTAAGAAAAAATTGATTCTGTTACCAGAAATTGTTCTCTATAATGTGAGTTATAAGTTAAAAGTACCAATCATCCGTAGTAACTACGTTACACAAACGTTAGTAGTTTAAGACTTTATTGTAGAGTTTAAATTGTAATTCTAAAAGTTATTGCAATTTGAATTGAAGACGTTCGCGTATTGGACCGCTATGGATTTCAGTTTCAATATTGCAATTAAGTGCAATCCATTGAGCGTAACGTATGACCTTTAACCCGAGCATTGTACATATAACAATAATGGTTTGATTAAGTTAGTATTTGCAATTAGTCACATGCAATAAGTTATCTGCGTAGGTACCTGAATTTGACTGCTCCATCAAAGGCTTATGATACAGCAAAATTTGTAGCTTAACAACCGCATGATGGGTCGATTGCACGGAATATTCGGACGTGAATTGATCGAATGAATTTACCTACCCGTTGTAGTTGGTAAATCGATTTGAAATAATTGCTGCAAACCACACATTAACACGGAAGTCGACTACAAATAGTACAAAATAACAATCGCGATAGGTGATGATACATTCATAACTAGCGTCTTCCGTTAATTTATTAATATAATAAGGTCAAAATTCTGATAAACATAAAAAACGATATGTATCTGATATATCGAGTGGACGCAAAGAGAATCAGGAATCAGGTTGGTATTAGGGTCTATGGAGTACCTGGCACTACCCGAGGCTAGCAACATGCGATAGCCAAATCCCACAATCAGGAGCTTGAGGTATCGGATCAGGTATTTGATCTGAACCTCAATAAAAATTTTCAAAAACATCTGGACCTCAACTAAAATTATTTGACAACTCTTAACCTAGACGTTTCTCAACTAAATGATCTACAATTGCTTAGTACTCGGGAGGACATCAGTACGATCCTGGGTTCAATTGCCCTGGTTCAAGTTTTTCTGTGGTTTCCAATCTTTTCTGTGGATCAATTAGGCAAATGCTGGGGCAATACTATTCCACAGATACAATCTTTCTTTTCACTCACACACCAGTCCCAACATTCCTGAAAGGAGGTTGTAGAGGGCCTAGAGCCTTACATTGCAGCGTACTCCGGAGGTACTTACCGTCTTCCAACATTAGTAGGTGATGGGATTCAAACAAGTTTTTTTTGCCCTATGGCCAGACCACATTACGACCACCTTTTAAACTAAGGGTACCCGCAACCGATATCACTGAATTCGGAAAATAGCTGAATGCTTACTAAAAAAACTGCGGTAAGATTCGCAGTGTGTGACCTCGCTAGTTACATTCATCAAAGGGAGTACGGGTAGCCCAGGCGACATGATGGTGAAGAGTCAGGGAAAAGTGGCAATCTCATGAACTCGAGATAGTTTACTAGTGTCGCACGCATAAGAAAGTTATTGCTATTGCTCAGCTCCTAGGAAAAATTGGTAGCGATATTTTCGGCTACTGACTGAGTGTATCTCAATCCCGTGCCCGTGAGAATCGCAAGATAGTAATTAAAATAAATGGAAGGTAACTCCCCACTAAATTACAATACTACGATGTGGAAGGCAACGGGTAACCACCACATTATGATTCCGAGTAAAATATACAAAACATTAGATTTTAGCTATATGGGAAGTCAGATTAGTCAGGACGGAAGGAACAGTAGGGATATAAAGCAAAAGATAGAGCAGGGTCGAGTCGACATCAATAAAAAGGAGTTACTTCTATGCTCGCGAACGATTAATTTAGAAATTCGAAAAAGATAGTGTAAGTTTGGAGCGCGGTGCTGTACGGGTGCGAAACATGGACGCGACGGTAAAGGAAAGATTAAAAGCGTTCGGAATGTGGTGTTACAGGCGAATGATCAGAATACCGTGGATAGAGAAAGTTAGAAATGAAGAGGTATTAGAAAGAACTGTGGACTTCATTGAAATCATTAAGAAATAGCCGAGATAGGTTGGTACGACACCTTCGCAGGCATGAAGGTCTAGTCAGAGACGTATTAGAGACAGAAGCAGTAGTTAGGAGGGGTAGAGTTAGACCTAAGTTAGATTACTGCTCGTAAATAGTTAAGGATATGAGTTGGTCTAATTTTAGGGAAATGCGAAGATTAGCTGAGGATAGGAAAGAGTGGAGGTGGTTGTTTAACCAGTCTTAAGACTGACGACCTTATGGTGATGAACTCCCTAGGTATGACGATACAGTTGACATAAAACGATTTTAACTTTTATTTTGGAGTAGCTATATTAAAATCAATTTGTTTTGATTATGGGGTTGTCTCGTATATGCTAAAATAATTTTTTTCTGCGTTACAAAGGCAAAACTTCACGTGTTTTCACATCAAGGTACTCGTTTCAAACAAAAAGACAGGTAAATGGTAAAAACGAATAAATCGTCTCCAATATTATCCTTACTATCCAACATAAAAAACAAGGATAGGTAAAAATTGCTACTTACTCAGATGGTATCGTACCAAACGGGGATCATCTTCTTTTCCAAGTCCCAATTTTTGAAATGCTTCGTTAATGGGGGCAAAAATGGTAACTGCCTCATGTTGAAGGGTGTTATTGGCAACCACTTCTCTTTGTAACAGGGAGTAAAACTGCAACAAAAGAAAATAATTCATTAATATAAGTATTACATTCTATTCAATAAAACGATCAACTTATGTATATTGGAAGGCACACAAAAAATGTATATGTAGATATGTGTGTAATTAATTTCTTGAAAATGACTCTAAGAACATTTATGAACCTGTCTTCATGTGGCTGTAATAGAGCAGGCTCTGCTAGTCTGATATCCTGATGTTTTATAGGTTGGGAGTTTATTATACGGAAACTTTTACTTAAAATAATGTTACTTTTAGGAAAAATTGCTTTCACGCAGCTTTAGCTTTCAGCAGTAGAAAATATAGGTCACTTGATAGGTTTAGATATCCATCAATATAAATGGACCCTGTTGAACATATTGAACTTCACTAAAATGTAGCATTGTACTACAGATTGTATTTACTGCGCCCTTTGTAGGGTTTTATTTGATAAGTAATTTCATAACGATGAACACTAAATTATACAACCCAACATACATCAAAGATTACCTGACAAAATCTACTGCAATTAAAATAATTCGAACATACGTAATCCTAAAATTTAGCATCGTGCTACAGATGGCGTTCACTGTGCCATTTGTAGTATTTTCTACTGCAATTGTTTTCTTTTAAAACAATCGGTTGGAGAAAAGAAACTTAAATTTAAAAATGCTTTTTATGCACTTCATTTGTTCGATTACAACATCAAACACAGTTTTCCATATTCTTCTGTTACCAATATCTTCTTTTTTGTTTTTTTTTTTTTTATAATCAAGTAGTCGTTGTATCGTAAAGAAGACAAGACAACCAGCGGAAGTGGTTTTCGAAAAGGAACGTAGCCGAAGTTCTTTTTGGCGCCCTGTCAGATTTCACTTGTATCATAAAGGCAGCAGACTCAGTTCTAGTAAAAGGATCAACTGTATGAAAAGCGTATTAAGCTTTCCACGATGAAAGGTGAAATAAACCATTTCGAAACACAAAGAGTTCTCCCAATAAATAAGCCCGGTTTGGGAGGAAATGAAACGGAAATCGCGGAGGAGTTGCGATGGTGACGGTGTTACCGTTTTCTGTTTTGTTCCTTTTTCCGAAATGATAAATTACTTCTGTTTTATCGCTTTTGACAATTCGCGACTACCTTTTCATATCTGGTTTGAGCCGCAGTGGCCGACGGGAATGTATGCCTGCCGAAAAGCTTGTTTTTGTTTCTATTCGGGACTCCCGAAGGATAATGCCCTATTTGAATTAGAATTTGTATTCGCGGGACAAAATTAAAATGGCCTCCTCCCGTAAATCCCTTTCATAACGTCACGTCCGTAGTTAGAACTTTAAATTTTAAATTATATTAGGTTTCATATTAGAGATACAGGAGTACCGGATCCAAACCGGTTACCCGACCCGATCTGGCACTTTCTTTAGGATCTTACGCTAAGTACGCGTTCGAAATGTGGTGTTACCTGCGAATGATGAGGTTACCGAGGATAGAGAAGGTTAGAAATGAAGAGGTATTAGAATGAAAAGGAGAACTGAAGACTCTATGGGAATCAGTAACAAATAGGCGATATAAGTTGGTAGGACAGCTTTTCAGACATGAAGATATATTAGAGGCACAAACAGGAGTTTAGAGGAGTAGAGGTAAACTTAGATTAGATTACTGTTCGCAAACACTTAAGGATGTGGGATGTTCTAGTTTTAGGGAAGTGCGAAGATTAGTTCAGGATAAGAAGCAGTGGAAGAACGTCTCCAACCAGTCTTAAGACTGACAACCTTATGATGATGACTATTGGGATCCGTCAAATGGGAGGAGCCTAAAAACATTGCGCCGATTAGGGAAAATTTATCGTAGTTCCTATAGTGTACCGTGCAATTTCCAAGTTTTTAAATTACGATAAAATGATAAGTATTGACACAATATGTGATTGGGCTGACACAAAGCCTCGGAAAGGAAATTTCGTTGAAGGTGAGCGTGTTTTTAATGCCAATCACATTATAAAATTCGGAAATAACAAATCCGGAAGCTAGCCTTCAAATTCCGTCAAGTTTACTGCCTACTTTTTACAAACTTCGGATTTAAAAAGTGATTCACGTTATATAATTGGTGAGGTGATTCTGGGTGATTTAAGCAATATCATATCAATGACTTGCACGTGCAAAGCCGATTTAAGAGAACGTTGCAAACACATTATTGCAACTTTGTTGTATTGCAGCAGGTAGGTTCTTAACCTCAAAATACTTATATCGTATCATTAGAATTGTGTTAAATCAATTACACAGGAATAAATAATTTCTCACTTTATAATTTTAGTATGATTCTAGTTTTAAATATTAAGGTTATGGCTGATGGTAAATACTTGCTGAAATATAATCATGTGCATTAAAATGACGTGAACAAATTTTTATTCCGGAATTCACTTCTTTGATACCTACTGCTTTCATCCAAGCTTCTATTAGTTTACTTTTTTCTCTAATTTTCCGAATATATTTTTTACATATATAAAACGGTTAATTTTTATTGGAAAGTAGTTAATGTAAGTGAAAAGTGGAGATCTATGTCTGAAGTGCTATTGCAGCTTTTCACTGAACATATTAACTTTTTATTTGATTTAACTATAGAAAAAAACTTCGTCTTTTTTACTTTTTTAACGTGTTTTATTATTTCAATAAACAATTTTACAATTTGCGTGCACAGTTCCTATGTAAATTTTTCCCTCATTCGAGTTATAAATTTTGCCACCAAATAGATGGTGGATGCCCATTTGACGGATCCCAATACTAAATTATTTATTTCAGTATAGTTGTTCTGTTTACTTTTTCTCGTGAACGAGAATAATGTTTTAGTTCTAAATTTATCAATACTTCTAGACATAAATCGCGTCTTCGATCTTAGTAGATTTCCATAGTGCATCATAAATATAAGCTTGTAATATTCCATTATCTAGAATTTCTATTTTGAATTCCTATACACCACATATCATATATTGTGGATTGTTTTTGGTACCTGATTAAACTAAATGATCAAGGATTGCTAATAGAATCCCGACTGTTGAATTATTTAATTGGAATGATAAATATTCATGGTCAAATATTAAATAGGCTACGGAAGCTCAGCATTTTATACTGTTCATTAATTTTAAGAAAATGAAATAAATATTCTACGAGAGCTCGTTAGCGTTTCTTGCTTTCTGTTACCTTTTTTTAATTTGGCACCATGAAACAACGAAGAAAACTTTTTACCCTTTTAATTCTTTTGAAATAAGACTCTCGTTATTGCAATAATTACATTCTAGAATTCGATCGTTGTAACTCTTGCTGAATTCTAAACACAAATTACTGAAGTAATGAGACATCTCATATTAGGATATACATAAAAATACAACTATTCGAAGAATCCTTTTTCTAAATGGCGTCGATCAAAAAGAAGTAATAGTTTTGTTTTTGATACTGTTTAATAAGTGCCATTTGAAAATCACTGTGATTATAATGAGATAAATTATATCTATGTAAATACCACAAAAGGCGCAGTAAACGCCATCTGTAGTATGATGCTACATTTTAGGATTACGTATGCTCCAACAAGGTCCACCTGTGTGGATATCTACTTGCTGAAACGAATCCCGGCGTAGCCAACCTCAACGTGATAGGCACGTTAGCTTAATCGAATAAAATAATTCGAAGTGGTCTGCATACGTAATCCTAAAATGTAGCATCGTGCTACAGATGGCGTTTACTGCGCCATTTGTGCTATTTTCTAAAACGCGCTGTTAAGGCAGCAGGTAAAAGTTGGTCTGTGTTCTGTCGGATCTGTCTGCGCCGCGCTGAGGAGATCCAAAAAGATCGAAATCGCGATCCGCGTCTGGCAGTTTCGACAGAATACATACCACTTCGAATTATTTTATATCTATGTACGTTACATACATATATTAAGTCATACTTAGACCTATTTATTTAGGAGTATGATGTTGTTAATTAGAAAATATAGCCAATAAAAAGTTTAATATAAATTGATTTCTTTCCTTTTTCTCTAAATCTTTACTCAAACCCTAAAGAGCCTAATATCAGATACTATCTCATACTAGAAACCCTAAATATGTCATAATAGGAGACCATTTGCCTGATGAGACGTAATTTCTGAACTTTTTAATATTTTTTGATATAATAAAAAATGTATTATACTTAAAACAAAACGATCTCTCATAAATAAACTTTATTAAATACCCTATCGAATATTGCAATATTCATAGTGATTAGTGCAATAATTTATGTTTTATGGCCGAAAATAAAAATGGTATCTCATATTCGGCATTCTTACCCTATTTACCCTTGCCGACAACAACTATTCCCTTCCCGAAGGAGAACGCTCTTAATATTTAATTAGTAAATTTCTCCTTGGCAACGTGAGCATCGCTCTACTAACCGGAAGTGTGCTGTTCAAAATATGAGAGTTTACCTAAGAGTTCTTGTCAGACGTTGTTCTTGACAGCTTCAGAACAGGCACTTGCCTCGATCATCATTATAATCTATCAAAAGGGCAAAGGTTTTCTCAGGAGGATATAGGAAGAATATTGAATGATTTTGTGGAACTAAAAGGAAATCATTATACAACATTAAATTATTTCAACAACAAGAAGTTACTTACATAACAATTATTTGTTTATCATGTCAACATTGCGATCTAAACTGTTATTATTTGCGTTCGGTATCCAAAATTAAAAAAAAAATCGGTTGTCTGTAAAGTCGCTTTACTGACGATAGTTGAACGTGACAATGTCATAAGAAAATGCTGATGGAATGGTTTCATTTTTCAAAAGAAAATTTTAATTGTATTTGTTTGATAGATATTTTGTATGGATATAGAGAAGGAGGTAAATGGAAATGTATTATTGTATAGCAGCTGTCCACGCAGACGCATCGCTCTCAAGTAGGAGAGAGACAGATGTCGAACGTTGGCGAACGCGGAGGTTGATTGTGCCTCTTTGTCGCACGTTTCACGCTCTCGCTTGCACTTCAAGCCTTAAATG